TGATGGGTTTTCCTTTGCAGATGATCTTTTTCCTCTCTCTGGCTGCTCTTAAAAGTCTGTTCTTATCCTTGATCTTTGCCATTTTAATTATATGTCTTGGTGTTGTCTTCCTTGGGTCCTTTGTCTTGGAAGATCTGTACACCTCAATGGCCAGATTGGGAAAATTTTTAACAATTACCTCCTCAAAGACACTTTCTATCCCTTTTTCTCTCTCTTCTTCTTCTGGTACCCCTATAATGTGAGTATTGTTCCTTTTGGATTAGTCACACAGCTCTCTCAATATTCTTTCATTCCTAGAGATCCTTTTTTCTCTCTCTGCCTCAGCTTCTTTGTAGTCCTCTTCTCTAATTTCTATTACACTTACTCTCTCCTCTACTACATCTAATCTGCTTTTAAATCCCTCCATTGTATGTTTCATTTCAGATATTGAATTTCTTAATGATTGAATCTCTGCCCTCAATTCATCCCTGAGTTCTTGAATATTTTTCTATACCTCTGTGAGCATGTTTATGATTTTTATTTTGAAATCTCTTTCAGGAAGATTGATGACTTTGGTTTCACTTGACCCTTTTTCTGGTGTTTGTGGAATTTGGGTTTGAACCAGGTTCCTTTGATGTTTCATATTTGTATGTCACGCCCTCTAGTGCCCAGAAGCTCTACTTTCTGGAGCTGCTCAGTCTCTGGAGCGATGTCGGGGGTCACAGGGGAGCAGTGCTGGTGCCTGGGGGGAGGAAAGAGCTGTTTCCTGCTTCCTGGCTGTAGGGCCTGTTTCCACTGCCAGAACCAGTGGGCCAAGCTTACAGGTGTAAGCCTCTGTGTTTTGTGTTTGTGGCTGCCATAGGTGGGGCCTCCTTCTGGCTGGCCTGACACCAAGGCAGGGGCTGCCAGTTTGCGAGCCAGTGCTGGCCAGCCAGGAGGAAGGTGCAGCTGGCTGTGTATCATGGCAGGGTTGTCGGACCTGCATAGCCAGCCAGGTGGATGGAGGGCCTAAAGCTCCTGAAAGTTCCTAACCTCCTGGGCAGAGTGTGCCTGGACAATGTTGTCCACCTATCCTTTCTCCTGAGTAGCAAGCTCTGTGCAGTCCTTGACCTTTTAGCAGCCCCCTTGCTGTTAGGAAGTCTCTCAGACTGCCTGCCTTTCTTTTGTCCTGGAGCAGCCGGATATGGATCCGCTTTCCAAAAGTGGGTGGAAACTCAGTCTCTCCAAGTATTCCGCCTGTCTTACCTTTTCAAGCCCACTAATCTCCAGAGAACCATGCAATATAGGTTCATGCTCCCAGAGCAGATCTCCAGGGCTGGGTGTTCATCAGTCCTAGGCTTCCACCCCTTCCCGATTCTGTTTCTCTTCCTCCCACTGGTGAGCTGGGGTGGGGGAAGGCCTTGTGTCCTACCAGATCATGTCTTTGGTACATTACCCTGTTTCATGAGGTCTGCTCTTTTCTCCAGGTGTATGCAGTCTGGTGCAGCCTTCTTTCCTGTTGCCCTTTCAGGATTAGTTGTATTAACTATATTTTCATGTTATATGTGGTTTTGGGAGGAGGCCTCTGTCTCACCTCTCATGCTGCCATCTTTAATCCTGCTCACTTAATATTGAAATACTTTGAACATACTTGAATCAACTGATTTTGAAATCTATATTCACTTTTTTATCACACTTAAACATTTAGTTTGCCTTTCTCTTCCTTTTTATAAAGAATATCCACCTCCTACATGCATTTATGTGTTCCTCTTTATTGATCTTTAGAAAAGTAGAAGTTCTGTTAAAGATGGTATGACCAACCGAGTGGAAGGGTCAAAGACCAGTCTTAGAAATTGCTAGTTACTGCTCTGCCATTATCTCCAATTGGCTTCTCCTGGAAGATATTTAATACCAGGAGTTTTCATGATTGATATTTATGCAGGGAGAGGAAGAAGGCAGGACTAAGCCCAGGGAGAGGCTGGACTGTGGTGCTTTGTAAGACTCAGCTGACCCCATGGGGTTTTGTCCACATTTGGGGTGAGAGAACAGGTAAGACCAGTATCTGCTCGTGTCTGGAGGCATACTGCCAGGAAGGGCATGTGACCTTGGGAAGGGACTGTGGTTTCCTCCAGGCTAGGCAATTTCTGGAAAGGGCTGATGGCTGAGAGCCACCAACTGATAAAATTGCAGGCATCCGAGGGGAATAAGTCCTTTCATTATAAAAGTTACCTGAGTGGAACAGCACTGAATCTCTGACCACCACTGGGAGTCTGTGTTCTTGGAAAAATACGTATGCAACTGTTACTGTAAAATGAAGCTTTTAGACCAATGGGTGTTGACTTTTTTGTGCAATCCACTTCTGAGAATTTGATTAAAGTTTAATTTTTTTCCCAAGAAAAATGCATACCTGGCCACACACACACACACACACACACACATACACACACACACACAGACACACACCTAAATTTGGAAATAATTACAAGCTATAGATGGGTCAATCTGTGGTCCAATAGACGTCTATGAACTTCTGGGTAAAAACTTGGAAACAAAATGGAAATAAATACTTTGCCAGTTCTAAGATTCTATATTTTGCCAGCATGCTAAAAAGCTGAAAGCAGAGAGTCATGTAATACCATTGGCATAAGGAACAGTCTTATAATTACATACTAATTTCCTTTATTCTTTAATAGAATATGGCAGTAACCTAAAATGTAACTTTTTTGTCTGTAAAAAAAAAAAATCATTGCAGATATTTACCAATACATATTTTGTTATTGGATCTGTATGTTGTGCAGTTAAAGTTTTTAATTTTATTTTGTCATTATATGTAAATCTGCCAGATTAGTATGCATCTTCAATGAATTCACTGTTCAAAAAAATTATTTTCCCAACTGTATATGCCAAGTACAATAGCTTAAATTGCTATGCTTTTCACTTACCAGTATTGTGTGAGCCAGATATTTTCAGAGTCCCTAGCTAGACATTAAAATTACAGCAATACCTACAAAAATTCTGCATAAGTGTTATGTGAAACCTGATGATTACAATTACATTTAAGTTCTATGAAATGGATTGTGACTTCTGACTCAATACTTCAAGTAGGTTTTGTGTTTTCAGTCAGAAGTTTCATTCAGTCTTTCAACATAATTAAAAACATGCTCCTTTTTTTTTTTTCTTTGACAGCCCTCGATGTATTGGATTTGGCTAGAGTGTTTTGTTTTATCTCAAAATACATAGCACCAAAGCTGAATGTAGAGTTCTAAACTTGGCGAGTGGTGTAAGAAGCATGACTGAAAACAGACAGCTTTATTCTGGTTTTCCAATTTGGCACTGTGATGTTTCTGTCACAGAAAAGGATAGAGGTAGCGCCCCTGTGCATTATCATGGTATCCCTCCATCTCCAGCAGGCCAGCTGTATCTCAGGTCCCTGCCACCAGCTAAATGGCATTACCTTTTCAAAGTTGTTCATCCTCAACTTTTGGAGTTCTGTGAGCATATTTTAATAAATGTGGATACTTGAGAGTACCAATTACAAAATGCAAAATCTTTGAAGCTCATCTTAATAATACATGATCATTGAGCCATGGCATAATGTCTGTCATGGACTTATTTTAGGTTTACAAATTTGTCATAATATCCCAGGTATGAGACTTAGAAAAAACTAAGAAACTGTGAGGCACTAATTTATTCAATCATTTGACTACTATTTTTGGGTTTATGATATTTGCCCAGAAACAATCTAAGTTTACAATATTTGGAATCTGGGGATAGAGCAGTAAAGGTGCTTTTATCATTTCAAACCCACTCTAAGCTCTACTTCTTTTGCTCATTTATAAATGAAGGGGATATTTTTTTCCTCACCCTGGACTCCTAGGTCTTTTCATGGTTCCTGCTTAGTGTACTCTTCTCTTACTCTTGTTGTATTTGGGAATTTCCTGTGGTGACCACCTCTTTCACCTAGAGACATTCTCTTTATTTCTGTCTGAGTAAGCTTCGATTTGTTGATCAGAGTTCTCCATTATCGCGTTGTCTGTCTACCTCTGGACATGGATACAACCCCCCTTGACAAAAGGAAAGGATGCCGGGCAATGCAGATTTAATGTGATTTCTGCTTTCTCAGGATAGTCATCCTATAGCTGCATTTTAATCTTCCTTCCCCATCCCAACACACCAACCCCAACCACAGATAAAGATCCTGTCTTTGTTTCTGTTTTATTTAAATTCCTTTAAAAGGATTGTAGTTTGTTATAAATGGATGTATCATCACCCATTCTTATAGCTCCTTCTTAATTAAGGACAATTGTATAAACCTACATTTATTTCTGACAGTAGTGACATTAAATTCTGCCCTTTGGAGTATGCACAATTTTGCAAAATATCATATTTTCTGAACATCAACAGGAGACCAACACTAATCATTAGAATAAATGATTTAATCTCACAAGATTTATATGAACATAAATCTTCAGGGAGCACATAAAAATAATTCCTCTGTTCATATGTTCTTCTAGCAGCCATGGTTTGTAATCTGTTCTTACAGTCACGTGCTAGATGCCAAAGAAGGTGGGGATAAAAGTTTATTCATGAACTGTAGAGAAAATAAACATTTACATTTGATTTTCATAAAGTTAACATTTATTATTCATCCTTCACTTTGCAACCCCTTTAGAAGTGAGGCCATCAGTGTAATGAGGTATATCTGTTCTATATTGAATAAATTTATTATATTTAATAGAAATATGGTTTCCTTTGAGGACTTATTTAAGTTACATTTGCCTCAATATTTTTCTAAATTGCTTTGGCATATCATTTAATTCTTAATTTAAGAAAAATACTCTCATCACTATCACTGTTCCTTTACAGGTGATATTTAACATAAGCTTACTGTATTCATTTGTACCAGAAAATATGATATTTTACTAGTTTGTCAATTAAATATGACTTGTATGTAGAGATGAGGTTTCTCCTAAATTAATGGTTAAAAAAGAGAAAGAAAGAAAAGAGTTACTTTATGATGTACTGTCATTCTCTTGTTGCAGAAAGTTGGCTGTGATGGCTTACTAGGGTCTCTTGCAAGGGAAGATCATTGTGGTGTATGTAATGGCAATGGAAAATCATGCAAAATCATTAAAGGAGATTTTAATCACACCAGAGGAGCAGGTAATTATTTTTAATTTTTCAAAATTAATAATCTGAACAGTCTTTGGGGACAAAGATTACATTGAAGTTGATTTAGAGATCACAGTTGATTCTGTTGCAGACTTTTGTAATGGGTATTGAATAATTTTTCATGATGACATACAATATATGTGGTATGAGTCAGAAATTCTAACAAGTTCATTTTCCAGTAATGAAAATATTGAGTCATTTAATAAGTTGGAGCAGCAAGGGAATAATCTAATTTGCATTGGCTAATGTTATCAGGTTTCTACAGACCTTTTTCCCCAATACAAAGCCTGATGTCTAACAGAGAATAATGATTTGTAACAGCCTGAAGCAACTATTGGGAGTATTTTAGCTTTGGGATTTTCAACTTTCCATTTTCTTTATTTTTTCTTACAGTTTTTACTTAATTTGAAGGAAATACATTTTTGGAAAGAGAATCTGTAGCAATATAGCATAGTGGAAACAATAACAGGGGGAGTCACATGTGGGATAATATTCCAGATGTATTAATAATGGGAAGTCATTCTCTCTTCTTGTGTTCCCTCATTTATAAATACTAATAGTCAGGGGATATGAGGATGAAATGATTAGTAATGAAGTGATCCACAATAAAGAGTTATATTATCTGTACTGAAGTATGACCCACAAATATGCTTTATATACAGAAAATCCTCTATACTCAAGTCCTCTAACTCTGTTTCCATTAGTGGGGCCTCAACTTCTATCTATTGAACTATCTTAGTATTTATGATTATATTGTCATCATCATTAGTATGCTTTTCTTACACATATCAACTTTTTCCTATTTTAAATTCCTTTCTTGTTCAAATACCAAAAAATCTAAGACTAAAATTTGCATTCATTTTAGTGCTGAGAACAAGCTATGTATGTTTGAACAATCAAGAAAACAGTTCTTTCTAGATAAAAGAGTCTTTCAGAGAAGAAAATTAGACACAGCCTTTAAAGTTGAATATAACCTTTTGCTAAGCTCCAGAAGAATAAAAGAGAAGTGAGTTTGAAGATTTTGAAGCCTAAAAATAACCAAGGCCTGGGGGAAATTGCAGATCAAAATCTCAGTCTCCAAAGCTGTGAAAAAGGTGATGAGTCCTAAAGTCAAAATCTGCTGGAACTCATTTAGAAAAGTAACTTTTAGCTGTAACAGGCTCCTGGACTTTCAACTATAAAGTACAATTATAATAAGCTTTGCAGCCTGATTGTGATACAAGCTTTTCTAGTGCAGAAGTTCAAATAAAGTCTGAAAGACCAAAGAGATTTAAAGATACTAGAATTTTTGAAGAATGTTCTTGCACAGCTATTTTAAATGCATGGGCACAGTTCACTGAAGACGACTGATGCACATTTGGTACTGATATCTTTGTTTAATTCTAATAACACTTTATTTTTCAGTTTAAAAATAATCAGGTGCTTTTCCTTCTGACTGTGGTTATATGGATATATTTACCTTCAGGTTCCTGCTTCAGACCCCCTTTGTTTTTATTGCACTTTAATTTCTACTTTTATTCATTTGTTGTTGTAGGTATGTTATATTAATGGCATGTTATTTGGAAAATGTCTGAGAGGACTAAGATATTGGGACTGTCAGAGATGAGTATTGTTGCTTTCTTCCTTACAACTCTATGCTAGTTTCACATTGTCCACAGGGAAGAGACTAGAAGTCTTCACTTAGACCAAAGGTCCTGCATGGTGTTAACCCCTGCCTGTCTCTCCAGCATCATCTCCCATCAGAGGACCTTTGCTTCTCCTAACTGCAGCCACCAAATTTCTTACAGATGCTTAAACCAACCATGCTGTTTAGCACCTTACATTTTAAAATATCTTCCTATTAGCTTCCTCTTAGATTCACCTGGTTAATTTCTAGATATTTAGATCGCAATTCAAATGTCACTTCTTCAGTGAAGTGTTCCCCAAATAGCCTCCACCTCCTATCACCAACAGCTAGTTTAGTGACCTTTACCGTATTTTTATCCACATAGTGTAGCTCTAATCACATTTGTGATTTTACACTCCTTCCCCACTAACTCTAATTTCAGTGAGGGAAAATATCATAGCTATTTTTGTTCAGCACCATATTCCCCATGACCAATATAGTGTGCAAGCCATTAAAATGTATTAATTTAATTAATAATGTAACATTATAGTATTAAGAACGTTAGAAAATGAAAATCTGTACGAGTCCTTAATTATATTATGGGCTTCATAAACTTGTGACTTCAGGAATGTTGTATTCATTTCTCTTGAGGTGGTTTTATCCTTAGAGTTTTTGGGCTTCCTCATTTCTTGAAGGAATTGCACCCTTCTTTGATCCACCTGGCTATATGCACTGTATATATTGTGTGTATAACATATGTGCAGTCTCATGTAGGTGTTTTCAGTCTCTGTGCTCTATTTTTCATTTGCTTAATCATTTTTGTTGATGCTAAAAAATAAACTGAAGAGGAACCCCTCTTTTTTCTCTTGTAGTACATTTTTATCATGTCTTTCATTGTAACTTGCCTAGCAAGGGGAGAACTTTTTAATGAGTCTTTAAAGGTAAATTGTGTATTTGGCCAGTTTTGGAACTATATAGTTATCAGTATACACAAAGAAGAAAATGGGCATAAAATGTGTTATTCTTAGTTTAAGAGATGATGATATAGATCCTGAATAAGGGATGCATTTTCTTAGACATTTGTCTGTATGTTTGCCACAACAGGAGACCATAGGGTTGTGTATTCTATTGTATAAAATAGGGGCAGCAGGTCACAGCAGGAAGTGCATGGTAGAATCAGATCTGAGTTCAAATTTTTGGTCAGTTACTACTGGCAATGCCATCTTGGAAAAAGCGTTTTTTCCTCTACCTTTATTTTCTCATATACTAAATGAGGAACATAATATCTCCCTTTCATGTTATCATTATGGTACTATGTAACAATCTTTGGCAATTACCTATAATATTGGCTATCACATAGCAGTTGTTCAAAATGTACATTCATCATTATCACCCACATAGAGATAATGATTGCTATTGGCATTTTAGGATGTCTGATGAAAAATGGGATCTCTGATTACAAAACAGATTGTTCCTGTGTACCTAGTAAACTGTCCAACATGAGGATCAAATTTACAACATTGACATTACAGGCTTTATTCCAGCTGCTAAACTTGGCAGTAGCCACTCTTACACTCACTTCTTTAAAAAAATGTACATTTTCAATTGTGCTAAGTGGCCTGTTTGTTGAAAAATATCTAGGCCTGTGGTCATCAGCTATCTCTCTTCAAATGTCTTTGTTTAATATTTTTCTTCCTTTCTTTCTTCTGTAAACTCAGCCTTCTGTAACCCGTCTTCCGAGCCATTCCAGTTGAATAGTGGAGAATTACTCTACATATAAGTATTGTCCTAATGTACTGCAAATCTCTGACTTACTGCTGAGCTCAAATAGGAATTTCCAGTTACTACCTCTACTCTTCTCTGCCTACTCTTTTTGACGACCTGAAATTTAACGTCATCTCCACTTTACTAAATTCATTTGCTTAGAGGTTCCAGTCATCTCTCGATTGTGACATGAGATGGACTCTCCTTAGTCACTTTTATCTTTGATGTCTTCACAGCTTTGGACACACTCTTCTTGAGATATTCCAATCTATAGGCTCCCACTATACCAAAATAGCCAGATCTCCTTCTTGGGATTATTTATGCTCTCTGTTCTTTCCTGATTTCTTTTAACCTTCCTGTTACAAACTGTTAGTGTCGCCAAAGTTGAGTCCTTGACTTCTCTCTCGATTTTCTCTACTTACTCCCATGGCTTTTAAATTACTGCCTCTGCAAAGATACTGTACAAAGGTACTTCAAGCAGCCTGACCTTTCTCTGGAATTCCAAATGCTCAAGAGTTCTTACCGAACATTTTACTAGTGTTATACCACTTTATTAAATACAAATGGCAAAGCTGAAATTATCAGATTATTATCAACCCTGGATTTCCATGTTCCTGTAAATAATGGCTCCATTTTCAATGTAAGTAATAATAAAACATTATGTTCAATGTTTATTCCCCCACTTAATGTGTTTCTCAAGTTTAGAATATTTTTTTCTTCACAGTGCCTTCTGGATTTTCTACTTAGCCTCTATCCCTCTGGGATTTTTACATTAGCCTCCTGACACTATTATCCACAGCTATGTTGCTGGGCACCCTGCACACTGCAGTCAGATAAAGTCTGTCCGAACCAGTATCTAGTTACTGAGATCCCTGCTCTAGAATGTTCAGTAGCTTTACGTTGAAAAATTCAGTGTCCCAGACATGCATTTAAACTCCCTTTAATAGAGCCATCTTCTTATATCTTCTCATTCTGTCAGGATTATTTTACTTATGCATGACTAAAAATATTCTTAACTTATAGTGAACTCATCCTTTTTCTATGTATATTTCCAAATCCTATCCCTTCTTCAAAGATGGCTCATCCATTTACTTCTTTGTGATGCTTTCCTTGACTGTCTGTGGTTTTCTCTCCAATAAATCATAGTGACTCCAGCAGATGCCAATGTTTCTAAAGCATGAGTTGTGTATATAACCATTTAAAAGGAATAAAGGAAAAGAAAATCCCACCTCTGTGAGTTAAAAATAGCAGCGAAACTTTTGAGTTGTGCTGTAATCGGAGAAGGGGCACAGTTTAAACAACGGTAGTTTATATTCTTCAAGGAATTAGCCATATCATTTTGCATATGATCATTTTAACATAATTTTTAAAGTTTTATTTAGCTCATATTTATATAATGTATTTGTGCCTTTTTTCCAAGTTATTATAAGCTCACTGAGTACAGAGACTTTCTTACCTGATTTCTATCTACAAATAGTCAGTAAGGATTTGTTTCTGTTCTCATTGTCACCTGTTTTGTTCATGTAACAAAATGGTAGTACTTGTATCCTTTGGTGTTACTAAAAATGGTAAAATTGAATAAGCAGTGTTTGCTAATGAAAATGATGATATGAAAAACATATGCCTCTAATTCCAGCTACTGTCACCAGGTGGGGTGTATGCTACCTTTTGGAATACACAAAATAATCGTTAACAATTTCAGGAATTTTAATAATCGACAGGAGACAACTCTGAGATTAGCTATTGTGCCTTTTTCACAGTAGCTTTGAAATGAGACTTTTATCAGATATATGGAGCTACACAGAAATACTAAGAAGAATATTAAATATTATTTTAAGACAATTTTAAATATTCAGCCAGGAGTAGCTGTCTGTTCTATCACTGTTCTGCACTCAATCAAGTCTTGGTTTTGACTTTTTCTGGGCTTTCTCTCTTCTATTCTATTTTGTCTTGTCACCTTATTTCACTTAAAGCGTTACATTCCCAACCTGGCTGGGCTGAAAAACCTTTCACAAGAAACACCTCATCGCATCCTGCCTCTAGCCGCCTGACACCTTCCAGGGCAACACATGGTTGCCTGGTGTGGCTTTACAGTTACTTGTCTCCAGCCCCAGTTTCAAAACCCTTCATTAGTCTCCTCAGGGGGTTCTTGGTCTCTCTCGGGCAGTACTCAGTTCCTCCAGGGTCCTGATCACTGCCGGCTGTATAGTATTCTCTCCAGCTGCATTTTCTCTTCCTCACATGTCCTGACTTTAAGGAATTCCATGAGCAGAGTCTGAAGTGACTTGCCCTGCTTCTCTAACTCTCTAACTGGGCTCTCCCATTGTGCTTTTCCTCCCTTCACAGTTTGTAAGATATCAGTGAGCTTTTTTACATAATATAAATTACCTGCTTGCCCTTGATAGTGCTCTAAACTCAGAATGTGATCGGAGAAAGGGGACAGTTTAGACCACTTTGGTTTCTATTCTTCAGAGGGAATTAGCTATGTATCATTGTACATATAATCTTTTTAACAGAATTTTTGAAGTTTTACTTAACTCATGTTTATATACTGTATTCAGCTCCCAGGAAACTTCTTGGGTTGAAATTATGACAGCTTGTATATGTCATTTTTTCTTTCTTTCCGTAAGTATTGAAATATAGCAAAAAAAAAAAAAAGGGAAGCCAATTAAGACAAGAGATCTTAGAAGAACTCAGGATTTATGTCCCGTTTCATTGACTCTTACAGGTTATGTAGAAGTGCTGGTGATACCTGCTGGAGCAAGAAGAATCAAAGTTGTGGAGGAAAAGCCGGCACATAGCTATTTAGGTAACTTTGGACAACCCACGTCCGAGCCCAGTTCCCTGCCCTAAGAGTTCTGTGATGACAAGGATGTCCATCTGTTTCTAGTTACATGTTTGAATTTCCCAGGAAGCACCTCTTGTCATATCAAATAGGAATTTCTTTCCTTCTCTCTCAGGGACTTCCCAGGAGCAAAAGCAATCTGGTTGTCTGTTTTGTGAGGGGGTATAAATTGCTTCCACATGTTAGTCCCTGTTTTTAAAAAAAAAACACCCACTGAAGGATTGGGGTATGTTTTGTTTTATATATATGCATATATATGAATACAAATGTATTTTGTAAATATATTTAATATTAAATGCATACATATATACATATTCATGCTTATTACATGTGTATATATATGTGTGCATATATATGATTACTTCAGTAGTAGGAAATCATATGAGATTCTTGGAAAAAATATCTACATACTAAAAGGACTTGCTCTTTTCATGGGAAGCCGTAGTCTGTCTGCCTCACTTCAAATGCACTCACCTATGAAGAGAGTATTGAAAATTTTTAAGTATTTTCCGTAGAAATAATGGTATCTGTTTTAACTGGGCCAATGAATAATTTTTTAAATGTATGAAAGAAAATAGTCAGTTGCCAAAATACATATTGCTTGTATATGCACATTTCAAACTAAGTATTGGGAAATGATCTTTTATAGTCATGGCATCCATAAAAAGGCATCTAATGTGATTAGGTCTGGCAAAAAACTAAATTTTCTCACAGAGTTTAAACATTGTATTTATATGATCTTTAAAGAAATCCTTCATGTCTTTTTTTTCTTATCAGAAATAATGTCCTCATTATTCTTTCTCAAATAAGAAATAAATGTCTCAAGGGAAACAATTTTTACATGGAAAATAACCCAATATTACATGATTGTTTCTACTTTGCAATATTGAAAATAGTCTACACTTGGATTGAATTATTTTCTCATTTGGGTTCACTTTCTAGGAGTAGGAAAATTTGAGGGAAGGGGACAGTCAAAGAAATCCTTTTTCATGTGACACAGTCATTAGTTTGTTTTACCAGTGTGTATATTTTGCCTGTTTTTGCCTAGTATGGCTTTTAAATGTATCCTAAGTGCAAGTAAATCATCTCAAAGATACAAATTCAGATTAAATCTCTAATATCCAGTTTTTTTTTGAGACATTGTGAAAAATCTAGACAATTTCAGCACATTCATTCCATAGCAGAAAAAATGACTCTTACTCTTGGGAATATATTTTCTTTTTTCCAACCTGGAAAGAAATATAGATGTCTCAAATGGAGTTTTCTCAAATTATACAAAACCCGGTGTTAGACTATGAGTTTTAGTAACTTAACAAACAGCGCTATATAAAGCAGTCAGTTTTACAAATGCGCCATCTCCAGGCTCTCTCTGATTCCTTAAGCCCCATACTCTTCAACCAATCCAGTCTTTTTGCTGGATCCCTCGAGAGCAACTCCCTTTATCAAGGTCAGCCAATCCCCTCCTTATAGACAAATCCAGAGGTCACATGTTATGTGACCTACGAGCAGCATTCAAAACTGTAGTAGATCTTCCCTCAGTTCATTGAATACTTTCTTCCTTAGGCTTCCAAAACCTGAGTATGTGAGGTGATGCCTCATGTAGTTCTGATTTTCATTTTTTCAGTGATTAGTAATATTGAACATCTTTTCATCTGTTTGTTGACCTTTTTGTACATATTCTTTGGAGAAATGTCTATTCAAGTCTCCTTTGCTCATTTTTTAATTAAGTTGGGTTTTTTTTATTGATGAATGTTAAGAGTTCTTTATGTATTCTGGATGTTAATCCCTTATATTTACAAACATTTTCTCCTATCTCATAGGGTTTTATTCTGTTAATAGTATCTTTTGATGCATAATAGTTTTTAGTTTTCATGAAATTCAGTTTCTTTTTTATTACCTGTGCTTTTGGTGTCCTATCCAAGAAATCATTGCCAAATTCAATGTTGTGAAGCTTTTGTCTTATATTTTCTTCTAAGGGTTACATAGTTTAGGTCTTAACATTTAGATTTTTGATCCACTTTGACGTACTTTTTGTATATGGTGTTACTTAAGAGTCCAGCTAGTTTTTTTTGCATGTTGTTAGTTGGTTTTCCCAGCACTACTGGTTCAAAGGCTGTCTTTTCTCCATTGAATAATCTTGGCACCCTTGTCAAAAATCATTTGGCCGTATACATGTGAAGGTTTATTTCTGGGGTCTCTATTCCATTCCCTTGGTCTGGATATCTGTTTTTATATCAATAGCACACTATTTTGGTTACTCTAACTTTCTAGTGAATTTTAAAATCAAGAAGTATGAGTCACTAGCTTTGTTCCTCTTTTTCAGGATTGTTTTGGCTATTCAGAGTCACTTGAGATTCTATGTGAGTTTTAGGATAGTTTTTTTTTATTTCTTTAAAAAGGTCATTGGGATTTTGATATGGACTACATTGTATTTGTAGATCACTTTGGATAGTACTGACATCTCAACTAACCTGGGATGTGTTTCTACTTATTTCTTTAATTCCTTTCAGCAATATTTTATAGTCTTTATAAGTCTTTTACCTCCTTGGTTAATTCCCAAGTTTTTATTATTTTTCATAATAGCATAACTAGAATTGTTTTCTTAATTTCCTTTTCAGATTGTTCATTGTTAGTGCACAGATATGCAACTGCTCTCTATGTTGACTGTGTATCCTGCTACTTTGTTGAATTCATTTTCTAGTTTCAATAGATTTTTGGAGAATCTGTAATATTTTCTGCATATGAGATCATATAATCTGTTAAAAGAAATAGTTTCACTTCTTCCTTTTTGATTTGTATGCCCTTTTTGCTCCTGAATTTTTGAGCATTATACCTCAAATAATTTTTGTGCCCACTCCCTTATCTAGGGTTCCACTTACACCTATGTTAGACTACCAAGTATTTTCAGTGAGCTGCTGAGATGCTCTGTTCATTTTTTTTTCTTTTTTTCCTCTCTGCATTTCAGTTTGTTTTTAGTCTGTTAGCTTGTCTTCAAGATCACTGACTTTTTTGCAATGTCTAATCTGCTCTGAAGTCCATATAGTGAAGTTATTGTTTCAGATATTGTGTTTTCCTAGTCTGAGAAATTTGATTTGATTATTTATAGTTTCCATTATTCTCTTTAATAGTATAGATTTTTCTTTAAATTCTTGTGCATACCATATAGGGAACATACATATAACAGGTCTTGATTTACTAGTTCTATCATCTCTGATATTTCTGGGTCTAATTTTTTTGACTGATTTTTCACCTCCTTATGAGTCATATTTTCTGACTTCTTCATGTATCTAGTAATTTTTAGTTGGATGCTGGACACTGTTACTGTGACTGTGATGAATGGCTGGATTTCATTCTTTATTATTGAGTGTTGGGTTATATTTTGCTGGATGTTTAATTTACTTGGAGATCAGCTTGACTACTTGAAGCTTTTGTAAAGGTTTGTTAAGGTAAGCCTAGAGTAGCCTTCATTATAGGACTAGTCTAGTTTTATTTCTAATATGCAGCCTTTATTAGTTCTCCACTGAAATCTTTGTGTGTCCAATAAGAGCTCTCCACTCTGACTACATAATGCTCCTATTGTCTTCTTCACTACATGAGCTCCAGGAGTTGTACAGTTCACAGGTGCTGTGTAGTTAATTTTCCAGCCTCAAAGAATCTCACCCCACTTATTTGCAGCTTAGTGTTTAGCCACAGGCTCAAAGAAACACCTTTGCAGATTTTTGGAGCTCATCTCTGTGTAGCTAGCTCCATCTTCACCAGTACTCCATAAAACAGATTGCAGCTGACTTAGCCAATTTAAACGCCATTCTCTGTGTCGCCATCTGTCTGAAGTGCTCATCCTTGGTGCTCTGCTTAAGTTCATCCTCTCTGGGGCAGAGTCTGGTAAATATCTTCAGGCAGAGAGTGAAGCAGTTGTAGAGATCACATTTGTTCTTCTTAGGAATCACAAATCTCTGCTGTAAGTTGCCCAGTGTCTGAGAATAGCTGTTTTCATACATTGGCTACTTTTCTTGGTGTTTACAGTAGGAGACGGTGCAGTTCTAGTTATTCAGGTATGGCCAGACACACATTTTCTAAAAACACATTTTTAAAGTTAATGAATTAAAAACAAACAAACCCAAGAAATATTACATACCCAGAGTATTGATACTTTGTGTGAGGTTGCTATTAAGCTTACAAACTGTGTGGGTTTTCAGGTACCTGAGTGTGCCGTTTTCTGGGTAATGCTGAATTCTAGAAATGTCAGTTGAGCCTAAACACACTATAGCTACCTACAGAAATTGTTTAAGGCATTTTTATTAGAGTTTTTCCAGAACTGGTCTTTTATAATTGTGCCTTGAATATATGTTGAAATACAGACAAAAATGGAATTATACTGGCCACAGTACAACTCTAGGTCAAATGATTTCTCAAAATAGTTAATAGACTTTAAAAGAACATAAAGAAGTACTTTACATGTTAGGTAAAATAACTTGTTTTTAATCAATTTAACATTATCTGTAGTATATCCATTTGTAGATGGTAATAGCTATTTGCAAAGTGCTGAGCTTCCTCTCAACATATTTCCCTTTAAAATTTAAACTTCAAGGTACAATTTAATATATATTTTTCATAAATAAAAAATATGGATGTTAATTTTTATCTAAAGCATTATACTTTATATGTGGTACATGATGAATGTATTATTTGGTAGGAATTAAGATTGATCAGATAAAATTTCAATAATTATATTAATGCATTGCTTCTAGTACTAGGAATATAATCAAATCCTGATTGAAAAATCCCTCAGTTGGCCAGAAAAATCTTAACTGATAGTAATTTATTTAACTTACTTAAAGTTTAAAAATGCAAATGACTCATGAGCAAATGAAAGCTATCTTTCACCTCAACAGTAATGAAACGAGATTTTTAAAATCTAGAGTGATTGTTCATAATTTTACTCCTGCTATTTCTTCTCAACCATTTTCTTTTGTTAGAATAAATGATTAAGGGCCAAAAGAAGGGTTACAGACATCTAAAGGAGGTTGGAGGAGGCAAAGGTAAATGTGGTTGGGTACTAATGGACAGTTTCAGGGCAGAAGGAGAGCTTGTGGCATTTACTGGGATTGTGGACTTTACCAAAGAGGAGATACTTTATGTTTACATCAGGGAGTGTTGACCCCTTAGTTTAAAAATTAATGACATACTTTTAACAAAACCATATGAAGTGGATATTAGCTAATGATGCTAACGTGTTATTCTTGTAACATTTTTGAACCTCCTTATAGCTCTCCGAGACACTGGAAAACAGTCCATTAATAGTGACTGGAAGATTGAACACTCTGGTGCATTCAGCTTAGCAGGAACTACTGTCCATTATGTAAGACGAGGCCTCTGGGAGAAGATCTCCGCCAAAGGTCCTACTACATCACCTTTACACCTCCTGGTATGAGAGAACAAGTTGATAACATTGCGTAATCAGCTTCCCATGGCAGAGTGCATTCATTCCCATGGTGCCTTCTCTAACCTGTTTTCCAAATTTGAATCATCAAGCAGATATTTTAAATTATTTCAAAGGTGGACTTTTAGGGGTTTTTTTAATGTGGTTAAATCATGATGTCTGAAATCGGAGATTATTACAAGAGAAACAAAATGTTTTAGGGAATTCAGAGACTCAAAGCAGAGGTTAAATTACTAGGCAATAGGAACCTCGTTTTCCTTAAAAGCATGCATTGGCTTCCCAGAGGGAGTATCTGGAAAGAAAGTGCTATAATATGGCAAAGTGAGAGCATTTTATACGTCCATCAAATGAGCATTGTCTGAATCTGTATAAAATGCCTTTAATGATATGGTATTGTCTCTGGGGAAAAGATTTGGTAAAGGCATCTAACAGAGCTTCCAGTTACCCTGTTCTGTTCTCTTACTAGGTTAACTGATTCCTATAGAGAATTATGGAAATTTGAGTGTTTGAGATGATAAGTTTCTTTACCATGTAGTAAAAGATTAGGTGTGAGGCAGGACAGAGATTACAATGAAAGGGGCAGGACAGTAGGGCTCTGCAGCCAAACTGGTGGCAGGTTCACATGCCCCTTTTGACCTTGAGCATCGCAGTCAGAGCTCACGGCTCAGGAGCCAGAGGACTGACTATACAGCTGGGCTGTTTTCCATCACAGTGGCAAAGTCTAAACTTCAGACACTTCAGCACCTCCTTAAGTCCACACATAAAAACAACTCTAAAACACGATCAACTGCCAGTTTACCTGGAGTGTGTTATGCCACATTATTTAATATCTCCAGACAATTTAAGTTGAATTTGTCTTCACTTTGAGACATCTGTGTTGCCGATCTAGGAGCCAGTGGTTCAAAGCACATATCAGCCCCATTTGCTTTTTGTACTTCAATGTGCCTGCAAGTCACCTAGGGTTCTTGTGAAAATTTACATTCTGATCTGGGGAGGAGCCTGAGATCTGCATTTCTGAGCGATTCCCAGGGAACACCACTACTGCTGGTCCATGGACCACATTGCAAGTAACAGTGTTTTATAGAACGCTTTACCAACAGCCATAAAGGAAGCAAGGTGAGTTGCATGGTGATCTTCTCTTAATAATAATAATAATAATAATCATCATCATCATCATCATCATCATCATCATCATCATCATCATCACCATTCACTAAGCATTAAGAGTCAGACACTGGCCTAAAATGCTTTACATTCATTATAGCATTTAATCATCACAATAACTATGTTTATGTGTTATTACTCCATTGTACAGATTAGAAAAAGCTATGTATGAAAAAGGTTAAGTGACATGCATGGTGTCTCCCAGTAAGTTATTTGACTATGAGTAAGCCAGGTGTTACTCAATCCTCTGTGCTGCCTGTCCTGATCAAAGCTTGAATCTGAGTTCTTTACATCAGACAGTCTCAGATCATAAGTACTTTGAATAATCATTGTGTTCATCTCCTCATGGTTCCTTTGAATCCTATTATTTCATTTGAATTGGAAACTCCACTCTGTGCCCTGTGCCATCTGGAGAGAGGGAAAGAAATGACTAAACAAACACTATGGCCATCTGGCTCTTTCCACGATGGGGTTACTATAATAACAACAGTGTCAACAACAAACATGTTTTTCACGATTTGTTTGCAGAAAATGCCATCAGGTTGCTAGCCTTATATGAATGTAATCTACATTTTTCTTTTTATGGAACAAGACTGAGGCTCATTTTCTGAGCCTCTAATTCAAAACCTTAAAACAGTATATGTGAGACCTCAGTGTTGGGCAGAGGGGTTCTCTTGACGCAGAGTCCTTAATCTGACCGGTAATTACCAAGGTTTTTCCTGGAAGCATGAACGATAATGAAAGTCAGTGAACTATGTCTAAAAGAAGGCATCTATGTGACCTGGATTTATTCAGTAATCCAAGGGAAACTGCACTTCTAAGATATTTTTCTTTAATGACTATTGCAGACTGAAAGCCGGTTCTGAATTTCGAAAGGCAGTCCGTGCTGCTGCCGTGCTTCAGTGTACGGGCCCCTCAGCTGTCACACGCTCACACTGGCCTTTTCGCCAAGAATACTGCCAGATTCAAATGGTTTAAGAGCTAATGATTTTGTAGCCATTGTCTTTATTTGAAATGGTGTTAGATAGTCAAGGACAATCTCAAGTTCTATCCGTGAAACAGTAGGGTTTTAAAAAAAATGGACACATTTTCATTTAATTAAACAAATTGGCAAATAGCTGCTATTTGTATGTTCATCTCATCCATTTAAAAACTAGGTATCAGTCTGGTGATGTCCAAGGAAAGTCAATCTCTCTCTCTCTCCCTCTCTCTCTCTCTCTCTCTCTCTCTCTAACTCATTTAGCTGAATGTCACTTATAACTGGCAACATCAAATGAGATATGGAAAGCCAAAATAAGCACTGTGATGTCCTTAGACTGGTACCTCCATATGTTATGTATCTGTGAATTTTAAAGCTATCATTTTTATTACTGGTATAGTTGAGTTATAATGCCATCATGCTAGTTTCCTGTATTAAAATATATCTTGGTATATCTTTTGATATATCAAGTAGGATCTTGAGAAAAAGAGGTAAAGAAAATTGACTTTGGGCTCACTTAAATGTTTTTCCATGGATTATTAACTCTGCATTCCCTGTCATTACAACGACCTTGATAGAGATTCAAAACTGAACAAAGGTCTTTAATAATTTAACATAATTTAAAATTGAGATTTATACCTTTGCATGCATCACAGCATTACATAGATTGCTTACATAAATTCTCAGATCTGTAGACATCATAGAGTCTATGGGGTTGTTAGACATATTTTATGCAAAATTATTTATAAAAAATGCATATTCTTGTTCATTATTTCACTTAAAATAGGTTTATCTCAGGTGTTTTTCATTTGCACTATATATGATTGCCCTGACGATGTAGTTCTAAGCCTGGCACTGGGTTCTGGGGGAGAACAAACAGAACAGATGTGGCCTCTGCTTATGACTTAGTCCAGGGTAACTCAGAGTTCAGTCATTCTCATGCATCTTTTATGGTTTATTGTGCTGCTTACATATGCATACATAACTATACCATTATTAAGCTAATATTTATCAAGATTTATTTTAAGATAAATTTCTTTTCAAAGGAAATGACCTTTACTACAAATGGAAAATTAGAAACCTACCCAAAATTAAAACTTAACTGTAAGCAGACATGGAACACAACTGTTAGCCTCCAGTTAGCTTAGAAGTTCTCTACCTTTATAGAGTCAAATGATTTCCAAAGTCTTTTGTCGTCTTCCTCTGTTGATATAGGGACTTAACTATCCATCTTTCTGTTTTATATGAGTGGAAAGGCTATGTTTGATACTAGATTGTGGGTTTTATCATGTTAGATAGGATACGTATCCCTGCCTCCCCACCTTCACCTCACTAAATCATCTCATACGTACACTGTGCTTTGGGAAATTATCTAGTCCATCAGCTTGAAAGAAAATGATCTGGAATTTCTAATCTCATCCAAGTGGGCTTTTTTTCATGCTGTCTTTAGCTCAGAGGTAAGTGTATAACATTTACACAATAATGTCACAATTCTGCTATGTATTAAAGGAACATGCACACCGTATCTCACCTTGAATGTGTTCTACGTTGACTCATCTGCCTTAATCACTTTTATATATCTAGGTGCTGCTGTTTCAGGACCAGAATTACGGTCTTCACTATGAATACACTATCCCGTCAGACCCTCTCCCAGAGAATCAGAGCTCCAAAGAGCCTGAACCCCTTTTCATGTGGACGCACACAGGCTGGGAAGACTGCGATGCCACATGTGGAGGAGGTGATGGATTTTCCAATATTTGTCTTTCCAAAATAGGAGTTGTTCTCTGATAAATAATTGATAAGACATATCCACAGCCCCATCTGAAATTCCAAACTCCGTAGGAGATAAGAACTGAAAGGTTTTTGTGACACATTTAGTGGCTAAATGCCTAAACTATTTTGTGGCAAAATCTGGTATGAATTGAAGAAAGGCTATTTGCGGTCACTCACTGCATTGCTCTACATAAATATTAATGTGTTTGCTTACAGGGGCTACCCGAGACACCATATAGGTTGTTCTGTCACGTATATGCACTTCAATATTCACTTTTCATATTTTACTTTTTCATTTTTATAAAATCTTAAAAGTCCTAAGTTCCAAAATACATCTGCCCAGAAGAATCAGAGACATGAAACAGTAGTATTGAGCCCGCATTTGTTGTCTGCATACTTGTTAAATATACAAAGCACCTGAAGAAAATAATTTAATTCCCCAATTCCTTTTTATTTTTTCAAGAGTATGTTGTTATTTTCAGTATAGAAGTATCCTGAGATTTCACTCAAAGGTTATTAATTAACCTTTCCTGTTAGAAGTTGAGGAGGCAAAAGAACAAAATTACTTCCACATAAAATGTGAGACCAGCAAACCACTCAATCCTACTGATGAGGCAATTGAGTTGCACAGGTTAAATGGACTTCCAGTTACTCACAGAATCAGCTAATAGGCAGGATCCCAGGTCATGAGACACACAATGTCTATTTGTATCATGTGTATCAGTAGCTTAGTATTCCAGGTCTCATTTGCATTTAATACCAAATTTTCTATAGCTCTATAGTAACAGATTCATTCTCAGGTTCAAAAGAAACTATGCAAAAGTATAACATATACATACGTTATAGAGATATTGTGCATTGGTTTGTGCAAAGCAGTGGAACACCAATTTTGTTTTCTAGGCAAAGAAACTAGTGGTACATGTAGCCTATATGTGCTGCAGCAGAAGTGGGGATACTAGGTGCACAAAGGTGCACAAAGAAACTGGCATGGGAGGAGAGTGTTGGGGGAAAGGGAAACAGAAAATATATATGTTAATAAGTAACATAATATCAAATTGTGATAAGTAGTCTGAATAAAAAGCAAAAAAGGGAAATAAATATGAGTAGTGAAGATGGGAGGGGGTAGGTGCCAGAGAGGCCTCAGTGAGAAGATCACACTGATTTAAAAATCTGAAGTGGTTTTGACAGGCGTCACCTATGAGGGCATCTGGAGACAAAGAGTTCCAGGCAAAGACCACGAAGCAAGGGTAGAGGTGGCACGTGCAAGGCACAGCAAGGATGCCAGCAAGGCACAGCAAGGATGCCAGCATGGGCTTCCTTTCTTCTGGGTGGTGTGAGGGTTTGAATAGGAGACTAACTTATCCTCACTTATTTCTATGTACATGGAATGAATGAAAAGGGTGCAAGTAGACAGATCAGTCAGAAGGTTACTGCAATAATTTAAGAAAGAGATGACAGTAGCTTGACCTGGTAGTAGCAAAGGAGGCAGGGGAAAGTGGTCAGGTTCTGCATATATTTTGAAAGGAAAGTAATGGAATATGTTGATAGACTCAGTGTGCAGTACGAGAGAAAGATGTCAAGGATGACTGATCATTTTGGCCAAGTGACTGGTAGGATGAGGTCAGATTGACCTCTGTAGGAAAGTCTGTAGAATAGTGGGATTAAGAGAGAGTGTGAGTCCAATGTTAATTTGAGTTGCCTATTGGATATCTAAGTGTGATGTCAAGTAAGCATTTGGATATGCAAGTCTGGTGGTGTTCAGGAGAGAAGATTAGACTAGATGGATGGTCTTTTAAATGCTGAGACTAAATGAAGTCACCTAAGGAGTGAGTGAGAAGAGAAGGAAACTCTTGGATGTTGGAACCTTAGGAGTTCCAGAGAGATGAGAAGGAAATGGAAAAGCAGATTAAGTGAGTAGCCAATAACATGGGAGAAAAAGTGAAAGATAAGACCTTTGGAAAGAGAAGGTGGCAAGGAATTGCAAATCTTGTGTTAGAGGAATCATTCAAGTGGGTATTATAATGACAAAATAGTGCCAAGAGCAGTGTTAGAAAATACAATAATCCAGGAGCTGAAATCTTAAAAAGAGGGAGTAGCCGAGGTGTTGGTGTTTGACTACAGAAAGGAGGGGAATGTGTTGTGTAATCTGGCCCAGAGCTGTAGGTTTACAAAAGAGAAAGGGAGAATGGTCAGGTAGTGGCCGTGGTGCTAGGGACCCCACGCTGCCTCTGCAGGTAGAGAGAGGCACGGGAGCCTGTGCAGAACACGGCCACCCACTGGGGGCGACTGGGAAAGCAGCAGCGTCCTCAGGAGAGAGAAGGAGGGGGCCCGGAACACACCACGGCGCGGGGGCTCCTGCCGGAGTGCTCAGGGCTCTGGTCTCCCTCCTGGCTCCTGGAGGCCCTGGCCCTCTGGGGCCGCCAGAGCAAAGGCAACTGGAAGTGGGGGTGAGGAAGGAGCAGATTATAGAGTGCAGGCTTTGCTCCTGAGGGCATAAAGGAATTCAAATAAAAGGATTTCAACCCACTCTAGCAATTTAAACAATTTCATCCATCCCCCTTGCCACAGTGAAGTGTTGGCCATGTTTCCCCTGGGGCCGCCATGTCCCCGCGTGACTCGGAGTCTCCCCGCTGCTGTCCTCTCCTGCTGGGGCTCTCGTGTACCCAAAAGCCCTGTGTCTGCGCTCTATGCATTCTTCACTGATGCCAGGACCCGTTTCTCTCAAGGGGTTCTGCTTCACATACTGTCCAAATTAAAAGCAAAAACACAACTGGAAACGAACACATCTGAAATGAAAATCTGAACAGTTAGAAATGCCTCCGATAGAACTCAGATAAGAATGACTGGCCTCCCTCCGTCGGTGGGCTGTGGGGGGAGTGGAATGATGAAAACGGGTGCGATTCCTATTACAGCACAAAAGGCAGTCATGAAAGGCTCTTGGTATTTGAAACTCTAGACCGGAAAATGTTTGCCCAGTGAATTTTGTTATCCTCATTTTTTAAAATTTTATTCTGTAATATTGGTCTAATAACTGCATCAGAAGTAAACACACAGAACTTGGCGTTCTTCCGTTTGAACAAACAAATTTTTAGGGTTAAAAGCTTTTCCCCAAATCACATCAATTATAACCTAGAGTATGTTTTGCCAATGGTCATTATACAGATATAGAGGTCACTATAGGCTATTTTAGTTTCAGCATCTGAAGGGCTTTTAGATATTCTTAAGCATAACTTCTTAATTATTAATGTGAGAAAATTGAAGTGCATGGAGATGAAGTTAGATATTCTTAAGCATAAGTTCTTAATTATTAATGTGAGAAAATTGAAGTGCATGGAGATGAAGTAACTTCCTGAAGTGACATGACCAGTCGTGGTGGAGGTAGGATTAGACTCCAGGTCTCCTGAATTCAGATCTTCTCTCTTCCTCATATACTTCCTTCAAGAACAGCTCAGGGAGCTGAATTGTTTCTTTATACAATGTAAAGCATGCCCCTTAGAGATTCTGTAAGTGCTCTTTGGATTCAAAGACATGTTTTACTCAGGTAAATAAAAATTTAGTTATGTTCTTATTTTTATTTTGAATGACTTATTGTGTAAAATAGTACTCCTAATTATACACAGCTGCTAGATGATTTGTGCTTGAATGGAGATATCTGCTCAAATCTGTCCCATTGTGTTTAGTCAACAGTTTTCAATTATCTCTGACTATGTTAATAGGGAGCATATTCATTTCAGTGCCAAAACATTTCTGGGCTTTTGGATATCATTTTCCTTTGCAGTTCATAAATAAAGTGGATGGACAGGATTTCAAGACTCGCATCATTTCTGACTTTTGTACTGTCGATTTTATAGCCAGAGAGAGCTTTGTAATCTTTCAGCATATTCATGAATTAAATGAGACTTAGGTACAAAGCACAGAACATTGGAAACAGATACATGCAAAACTTATCTCCAACAGCAAAGAGGAATAATAGCACTATTTTAGTTCATAGGACTGTATTAAGCAAGAGCAAATAAAATATCACACAGCAATATAACATTTCAGTGTTTGACATGTTATATTTTTAATTCTGTTTAAGGCTTTAGATCACTAGCAATAAGGAGGAAAAAGTATATTTTTAAAGATACCTAGTGTTGTGTAGCTAAATTTTTATTGTAACAACCTTTTACATCAGTATCTCAAACATTTCAGAATGATAACCAGATTAAAATTAATTCAATATGCATTGTATTAATGTATTATTACTAGTTATGACAAGATATGAAAAGCTTATGATTCCTCAAGAAAGGAATATTTTTAAATCTCTAATAGATGCTAGTGATCGCAAGTAAATTTTTCCAGCAGTTTAGCATGTGACCACTTTTATCACCATGTGTTCAAATTCCAGTGATAATTTTAGAAAAATCTGAATTGATGTATCATTTTGCATTTTAGGGTTGGCCATTGAGATTAGTCCTTTTTGTTTCAAACAGCTTAAAATGTACTTGTGAAATAAATGTTTACTTTACAGTAGTGTTCTAGAACAACTAAAAAAGTCTCTAAATGAATGTTTTAAATTTATTTTGGCATCTCCAAAGTGTGGGTCAGTAGATAAAGTCTTTTTTGACATGAAAGTCCTGTTTTAAGTGCTCTTGGACTTCAGAGGCATTAAAACATATCTCATTCCATAATGTCTGAGGATTATGAGTGAAATCAGCATTCCACATACTGTCTACAATAACTGCATTACTCTAGTATTTATTTTGACCTAGTGGATGAATTAATTTTATAAATTCTAGAAAAAGGACCCCAAAATTCAGTAACCTCTTTTGAAATAAATGAGGAGTGAAACATGCTTTTAGGAAATCTAAGTACATACAATTGGAAGGGAAAAAATAAGCCAACATTCCACGTTTTTCACATTATTCCAAATCCTTCTAGCTTGTGACTCTCACACTGTTAGGCTTCTAGTGTTATATCCCCTAGACATGGCTTCACTTGCCCACTAGCAGATTCTAAGGAAGCGTCCAAGCCTGTAGGTTCAAGTTGAGGAAATATCTCAGTATGCAGATGCCTGTACCTATTTAAACATGCCAACTCTTTTTCCATTTTAAAGGCACTGTATATGCACCAAAATATATTGTTCTCTGCATTACTTCATTTCAGTGCTATTTAATGCAATTTTGCCCTATACTTTCTTATATTAATAGGAACATTTTTATGTTAATGTAACTCTTTATAAACTTGAATTTTGATCCTTAAATGATAATTCATTAACTGGATTTGCCATAAGTGACTATTGTCTATGATTAGTCATTTAGATTGCAAATGATTTTTTGCAATTTTAGGAAATAGTGTTGAGATAAACTTCTTAGTACAGAAAGTGCTTTGGGCTTAAATTGCATGTTTATATTTTGTTCACTGATTTCTTTACCAATACTGACTGTATACTCACTATTGCTGGGTAGTCCAAAGATGAGTGCTTTCTGAGAATTTTTAGAGAATTCACTGCCACTGTAGGAGGATTCAGATAATAATAAACTCACTATACAGAGGGATATGGGGGGTGTCCCCCATATCCTTCCATGGATATGCATAGCAAAAGTATTTATTACGAGGGTCCAAAGTAGTGGGAAGTGATTTGTCCAGAAGAATGGAGTGAAGCTAGTTCATGAAGGTCCTGGAGTGTTAATGCTAGCAATCCAGTTAAATTTAATTTGAAAATTATGGGATCCTATTAAAATCTTCATCTGCATAGAAATGAGAAGATCAGGTTGGATTATATATTGGGTGTTGGGAAAAAAACACAAAATAAAGTTCTTATTTAAAAAAAAAAGAGTCGTTTTAATATTAAGGCCAAACCCTGAGGGAAAAATTGTATAGAAATGTCAAAAAACTGCCTAAGAAGTAAACGGCATGACACAATTTTGGAATCTGTTCAAGTTAAGAAAATGTATGCTTAAAAAATAACCAGCATTTTATAGTTCTCTAAGAGGTGCTCAGAGAAAAGTTCTTCAACCTCATTCAAGTATATTTACTTTAAGTTCTAATGCTTGACAGCCATTGTTAGTTCACAGGGAAATAAATTAAGATATTTTAAAGAAAATTAAAAAGACCAATGAATATGACTAGTCTCCATCTTACAGAATTCCACAGTTGTATTTAAAAGCCTGGAAAGTACAATATTATATAGAGAATTTCACTTGTGCTTATCAAAACACTGGACCTTCTTCCAAGAATGTGTTTCCACGTTTATAATGCAAGTTCTAAAAATGTGATCTATCTGGATAGAATATGGGTTTATTAAAATTATCCATTTCTCAAGTTGAATATAGAGCATAGAAGAAAATCAGTTTATCTCAGACTAGAAAAGAAGGCATACAGTCTAATATGTAGACATTGTTAAATTATCTGCAAAAAAACAAAGAGTCCGTAAATAAAAATTACCCTCCATTTTCAGTTTTTTCCCAAACTTGGTTTTGAGATGAATGCATAATGGTTATTTTATTTTATTCACAATTGCTTTCAAAACATCAAAACAGTTTCCCCAATACTGATTGAATGGAAATGACCCAGAGGGGAAGTTAATTGCCATAAAGCAAGTGATAACACTGTCAACAGCTTGCAGCTACTCTTGGTTCAGGCAGAAAGCCAGTTCCTTCATCACGTTCTGGTCATCCCTAGGTTCACTGGGTGCATTGTAAATACTGCTATTAGATGCTAGAATGGAAATTTCCTGTGTTGGCTGGTACATAAAAATATATAAAGGAAAAAAGTCAAACAATAATATTGCCATATGGCTTGAAGATCTTAGTTGTATTTTCATAGGCAGAATATGTCCATAGCTGAGCAACAGATTTTTCCCTGATTCTGTTGTTTTTGTTCAATGCCACTTTTAAAATGTAGGGCTAAGCTAATCGTACCTGCCAAAAAACTTGAGATGTGAGCTTCATTGCTACAGTGAAGATGGAAATGTCCCAATTCATACTCACATGCCTTCAAACTTTCTTAGAACACCACTAGGTGCTCCCTGAAATGGTGTTCATACCTATATCCATTTTGACGTATCAGTACTTAAACTTAAAAGATTTTTTTTCAATAGTTAGCTCAGAATGTTAGCTCTGAGCTAATATAACTAAAATTAGATATTTTTTGAGGAAAGGAAAAAATGCAGTATCATCAGTCCTGAGTTACCTATTCTGTGACTGCATGTATGTTCAGCAAAAGATTTGTGGAAAATGCCTCTGTCATCTTTTTGTATTATAGCTGGCAAAAAGCCATTATTAAAATTAGCTTAGGCAACTACATCTACACCTGTTCTGCAAAAGAGTGTCATATGACTGGAGGCTTTATAATAGACTGTAAAACTAACATTTATATTTCATAAAATTAACATTTATTTTAATCCTACTTTTAGGTAGGCATCATCATAATGTAGAAATAATACCTACACTAGCATTACACAAAATGTACGTACACTTATTTAATATATGCATCAGGTCATAAGGAGCACCTGGAGCATAGAAAACTCAAAGAAGTTGACGAAAACGCTGTGTCAGATTCTTACATTTAGATAACTCCTACCTTGTGAGGCCAGTTTTCTCATTACAGGATCATAAGAGGTCATTTCTGTTTCTCTTGCAGTTTGAGAACTGAAGTTGGGTTTTGAACACTGCTACGATTAAGTCTAATGCCACCCCTCCCTGCCACCCTTTTTGACGTACCAAGGAATAGCCTGGACAGCATCTGGGGCAGCAAAGGTTGCCTCTCCTCTGCAAGTCAGCAAATGCTTGCCTGTCTGTGTGAGTGCCCAGGTCATGCAGAGGACGTCAGAAGCACAGCTGTTGCATTCAGACGGGCCACTGATGTGCTATGTAAGATCCTTGGCGGCAGACTAATTCAGCCCATCTCCATTTGACAAGCCAAACACCCCCTTTACCAAGCAACTTCCTTGTGGAGAAAGCGCTGTTTGCTAATTCATCTGCCTAGTAGGCGTGATTTTCCCTACTCTGTATACCCTAAGGGGCACCTTTACCAATCTATGGCTGGATGGCCAGCGAGGCCCTTCCCCTTTTGGGCCCACTGCTGCCCACTTATAGAGTGCTGGGGGCACACCTTCTCTCACTTAAGCACAAGAGCCTGTCACCTGCCCGGCACTGTTGTCTATATTGGAGCTCCCACAGGATAAATTGGATTGCACCAGAGCCCTGGGATTCTCCAGGTGGAAAATAATTTGGCCAATCTTGTACTGCCTGTGCTGGAAGATAGAACTGAAGATCTAAGGGGTATCAACAACATAATACGAAATACCCACAGATATAATTGTTAAGTAATCCACATATGTATAGAGATGTAGTCATGACCTTTGTGTACTACAAAATTGTTGTGGGACTATGCTCAGTGTTACTGAGAGGGAGATCAAGGAAAGATCCAGAACCTATACTTGTTCTTTTGCTTTCTACTTGCCACCCACACGCCCCACATTGTATCTTCCCATCCTCATTCAAGTCAAAGATACTCAGAAATTACTGAAAGTAGCTCACTTCTTTTTTCCTTTCTTGATGCCAGTCTCTTCCCTCTGTTAATTAAATTACAGAGAGTCCTCTCTGTCACCAGCCCAGGCTATCCTATTTGTCATGACCAGCATGAATGCTCTGAGCTTCCTAATTATCATTGCATGACAGTCATAGGGCCTTAACTAATGGGCCTTCCAACAGAGACCCAGGAGACTTGTGATTGTTTTCTTAATCCTTCATGACCATGCCTCTAAAATTGTTGATTTATTTAGTTATCTTATAATGTCAACAACTTAAGTTAGATTATCAATCTTATATAAATACTTAAACTTCTGTAGAGAAACAGAATTAGCACTTTTAGTAGGCTTTTTCATTGTAAGATGAAATGATAAAAGTGTTGTCAAGTGTACATAAAGGGCTCTAATAAAAATGAAAACAGCATACATAGGGTCATTTTCACCTGCTGCTGTGAGACTTCATCATACCAGAGAAAGGAGCAAAGCCATTTTCCCTAAATCTGGTGAAAAATCTAAGAGTCCCATGGGTTTTCTTAGAGAACATAGCAATTATTAGAGAATGGGGATTTCAGAGTTCTGGGGGTCTTTGTTAGAGGCAAGAAGAAGAAAGGTCTGAGTTACAGTCAAAGAAGTTTGCTTCCATAACTTTCCAGAGCATTAGTGATGCACAGCCAAATGATGGCAGGGGCATGCCTGTTGTCTGTGTGCTTTCATGAGGCAATATAGGTTTTATGCAAATCCACCTTTGCACCACCTAATGTTAAAAGATGGCACCGTCCTTTACAATGCATCTTTAATTAATACTTTATCAACTTATGCTGCTATAACCCCTTGGTAATATAAAACTTGCCTTTAAATTTTTACCAAGGAAAAAGTTACCATTCCTCTTCCTTAAGCCTAGAGATACATGTTGTTGTCTAGATAACAAATAATATCATCATTGATCTAGCCTAAAATTTGTTTCAAATGCCTGTGAAAACTACAAGCCTGTGCACAACCTCCTAAATCCATTACATAGAGGCCTGTCATTGCTTTATATGTTTATCTGCTCTTTTCAGGAGAAAGGAAGACGACAGTGTCTTGCACAAAAATCATGAGCAAAAACATCAGCATTGTGGACAACAAGAAATGCAAATACTTAACCAAGCCAGAGCCACAGATCCGCAAGTGCAATGAGCAGCCGTGCCAAACAAGGTAACCCTGTCCCACCACTTGGTGATGCTCAGGTAGCTGTTAAATTTCTGGGCTTTAAAACAACCCAAATATTAGCAAAATCGCATTTTCTTAAATGTGGCAAGATGTAAGGTTTTATGTAAGCAAGGTCTAAGAAAGAATGGCAGTTAGCTTGATGGAAAGAGCATTGAAACAGCAAGGTTAGCATTCGTCTCAACGTTAGCTGTGTTCCCCAACTGTGAAAACAACAACTTACTCGGATGGGGAAGGAGCCATTAAAATTATCTGCTAGTTGGTCGCCTCTTCAAAAAGTCTGGTTATGGGCTGAATTTAGCTATTTGTTCCTAAATTTTCTGCCATGGTATGGCAGAACTTGCCAAGAGTGATATAAAGCCAGGTGGGACTAGCCAGGACCCAGTCCCCTACACAAGAGGGGCAGGGTGGGGCCCTTGGCTCCCCAGGCTAGGTCCTCGCTTCCTTGCCTACAGTTCCCCATGCACACTGCCCAGGTCCTGATCTCTGACCACTGGATTCCTGACATTGGTGCCGGTTACTAGACAGTCAGTTGCTGTGGTCCCTGTGACTTCCCCAGGGAGTATTATGCAACAAGGCAGACAAGAAACTCCTAAGCAGGGGACCAGACAGCAATGCTGAGCAGCTCAAAGTGGCATAGAAAGAAAGGCTATGTATGTTTAAGTAACTTAAGAAAGGCAGAGGTGACTGAGTGGAACCTGAGTATGATTTCAGAGGGAACTAGAACAAAGCTGTTTGGATGGTTCCTGTCACAGGGCTCCTGAAATTCCACTTGCTTTTGTATGACGGTGTTGGGCTTGAGCAGGACTGAGCCCCAGTATTAAAAGTCAAGGATAGCATGATAGGGGATGAAGCTGGATTGATTCCTCTGGAAAATGGGGACAGGACATTTGTGCTGTCCAGACACTCAGAGGTTGGTGGAGGCTCAGTGAATTAGGGTATAATCGTGAGTCCTTAGGGAGTCAAACAGAGAATCAATCTCTCAATAGCTTCTGTAATGGAGTCACAGTGAATTTACACATGCTGCAACTCACGTGTGTGAGGAATGCATAGCCCTGCAGCTAGACTCTTCTTCATGACCCTCAGCACAGTGAGTATGGGGCTATGTTGAGGAGGAGGAGGAACAAAGTAGCCAATTAACTATACTTTTCTGTCTCTTGGGAATTCATGTCCTCCAGGCTAATGCCCAGTTCCTCTTACAGGTTTCCCTGTTACCCCTTCTTTCCGTCTCTGATGTAACACAGAATCCTAAGTTCCCTCTATTTCTAACTTGCTGCAAAACTCAAGTATTAAGCTCACCAGGTCTGGCTCATGCTATGTTCATGAGGACTGAAAAGCATTTGGAAAACCCTTTCTTTTTCTGCAAAGCTGAAATTTCATGACTTGGTTTTCTGTAGATTCAACGGATTTAAGGAATCCAAAGTTGACTTTCAGTGTTTCCTCTCCTTTGCATTCCTGCTCTTAACATTTCCTATCCTACCCACTCCCCATCCCCAGACAAAAACATACGCTCCTAAGGAGTGGAACGAAGAATGCTATTTTCAAAGAACGTGCAAAAGACAAAAAGTTTATTAATACACCTTCAGGAATGTTTTACCCATTGCATCTGCCTAGCTGTATGCTTTTTGGGCTAACTCCATTAATAGATACACTAATCAAGCTTCTCGATAGTGATCAACAGGAAGGGTGACCCCGGAATTGTTGCCATCTGTAGTCATGTCCTTGGGTCCTTTCCATTCAGTGCTGGATGGATGTAGAAAAAGAGTTTTTGGTCTTTGCCCTATCAGCTAAAGAACCTGGACTCTTTTTGTTATTACTACTCCTAAGAATTATCTTTCTTTTTATTTCTTTTAATAGATATTAAAATGCTCATTTACCTTGTGTTAAAGAATTCATTAAAGTATTTCAGATCACCATTTTGTTTTATATTGAACGTAACTTTTCCATTTGGATGAAAGCCGTGGCCTCTTGGGCTGCATCAGTCATCTTGACTAGTCATCAGGACTAGAGCCTGTTTGTCACTTCTGAACTTGCGTCTGCAAAGGATTGGGATGCACAGTACACACCATTTATTGTTCATCCATTGACCTCAGCTATCCTGGCAAAAAACGCCTCAAGAATGACTTGGTACAATGAATAATTTTAAAAGATCAGTACATTTGTGAGTTAGAAATTTTGCAGCTGGAGACTGGAAATCATTTTCTTAGAAATTGTTATCTTCCTCTCCTTTGAAAAGGAGACAGTGTATTTTGAACCACCACGAAGCAAGTTGGTGAGGTTAGCCAAAATACTGGAAAGTAAGAAATAGACTTGGGCAATCATTAGAGGGTATCACAGTAAACTTTCCAAGACTTACTGGCATTGGACGTCCTTTATGTCTCTTGCCTCTTCTTTTTCCCCACCTGAGTAGGAAGGATTCTAATATCCATTCACATTTATCGAAGAAGTCACCAAAGGGCCTGATGGAACTCTCTGCATCAAAAATAAAATACACTGATGCACTTGTAAGTAGCTTTGTAAGGAGTCATAAAGATAGGGAAATGGAATAATTCTAAATTAGATGAATTCTAAAGTACAAAGTGTTCTCTTTCATTAGAATACAGTTTACATTTTAGTTCTTATTTTTTAGCAGTTTACACAAGGAATTGAAGTCATGTTTATCATTATATCAAGGATCTCTCAGATTTATTCCATTTAAAAAATATGAGATTCCAAGAAATTGCAGTTACTTCAGTAGTGTTTTCTGGGTTCCATTATTGGAGGGGAAGAGTACATAAATGGCTTCTGCACTGTGCTGATAGCCTCAGTGCAGAACGATAAAGCAAAATCGAAACTAAATTGGGAAGATAAATGCTCACTTTGGAAACAATCCACAAGGTCACTCCCAAGCAAAGTGGTAGGTTCTCATCACATTTGACAGACCAGCAGATAAGAACTGTTAGAAGCAACAGTGGTGTGCAAATCTTATCATGAAATTTTCTTTTTTTTTTTTAATAAATAGAAGCAGAGAATAATTTAGAATTAAACCATTGTATGGATGAGAAACTAGGTTGCATGAGGATGTGACTTTGCAGACTTTGGACCATTGCCAGGAACATGTGCGCTTAAGTGAATCTGGAAGAATTGAGGTTATTTCTGTAAGACAACAAATTCCATTTCAAGGAATGATTCATGAAAAGCTATTGTGTGAAAAGTGTTATGGGTGGAGAGAAGAGGAGGCGTTGATCTCCTCCTTCGAAGAGCCTACCTAATAATCAGGAAAAGGTCAGGCTCCGTAGGCGGCCTGTGGACCCCTCTGTTTCCCTAGGGAATATCTAATAAGTGTTATGTGAGAGCCCCCAGCCAGGTGACGGAGGGCAGAAAAGAACACAGTCCCTGTGGGTTGGGTGGAGAAGCCCTGCGGGGGGGAAGGGGCTTGGAGCAGGCTGTCAGCATCGGCAGCAGATGCTCCATAAACAAGAGCTGGGAAGTGAAAATAGAAAATGTTTGGGGAACAAACTGAGTATATGGTTTATTTTCTAAACAATTGAGAGCTGAAGAAAGAGAAATATATGAAGAAGTATAAGTCACTTATAGATAGACTGTAATATATTATACACTGAGTCACTATTGTCTGTTAGGCAATATAACAATAAACACTTTTACAAATGAGGAAATGGAAACTTAACAGCTGTTAGGTATTGTAAGAATGTGCACAGCTAGTAGGAATCTATAATGAAGCTCGGGGCTTCTAACCACCCTGCACTGCGCTGCAACACGATTGTACAGATAGTTTAATGGGGACATTTCCACCCCCCTATAGGGTTGTCCAAAGAATGGGAAGTGCAGAGGTTTCATTGACAGAAATCATTCAAGTAACAAATTTCATGAATCATTTTCCTGAAGTGGACTTGGGGAGGTGTTTAGCGATCCCCAGCGTGGGACCCAGTTCATTGGAAATGAACGGGACGTAGATGCAGATAACTGTGCCGATGGTGGTTTAGGAAGAGATCTCCATCTAGGTATCAACATACATATGTACTGGTAAGTCACTGAACCAGTGAGACCCAAAAGGAATATTTGCAATCCTGAGGACCTCTTCAGTGGGGTCACTTTCCATGTAGCCCTCTGAGCCTGTCACTCCATCGTCCTTGATCACATTGCCACGAGACAGGGGTCGGCCTAAAAAGAAGCCCACCCAGGTAGCTCTGACCTGGAGGGTGTGTTCCAGACACACACATCTTGTTGTGGGTGGTAGGCAAATGATTGCTTCCTTTCAGTAAGAGGGGAATCCCAGTGGCAGGCTTCTCTTACCTTGCTAAGACCGCACTGGGATGTGGTGTTCAGCCTCATTTCCGTTTCTGACTCTACAACCTCATGACCTTTGCTGAGTTGCTCGACCTGCCGTTCCTTGGTTTTCCTTTCTGTAAATGGCCATGAGAGCAGCAGTACATGACACATGGGGCATTGGGAGGATTTGAAACACAGACTGCAAGTTCCTCTTGATGTTAGCAATTTCGTACTTTTAGGTGCCTCGGTATGGCAATACGCTGAGCGTCACAGGCAAGGCCGGCACTCTGGCTGGGAAGGAAGCTAGTATATACTCTGGGATTCGGATAAGGGCAAGGCCATGAGATAAGAAATATGGAGAGTTCAATAACAGAAAGCATGGGTGTTCTAGAGAGAGCTATAATGTTGGGTAAAAAAAGGTACAAAGTTACTGTGCAACATTCTACTCAGGTGTCAAAATACGTAGTAGGCAGGCCCTGTCTACCTTGTTTCACCGGTTCTTGCTGTATTTCCAGGTGGATGATGACAGAATGGACTCCATGTTCACGAACCTGTGGAAAAGGGATGCAGAGTCGACAAGTGGCCTGTACCCAGCAGCTGAGCAATGGGACTCTGATCAGGGCCCGTGAGAGGGACTGCACAGGGCCCAAGCCGGCCTCGGCCCAGCGCTGCGAAGGCCAAGACTGCATGACCGTGTGGGAGGCGGGAGTGTGGTCGGAGGTGCGGTGCTCGCCCCGCTGCCCCGATGTTCCCTTTGCTTCTGACTCTTAGCTTGTATTGGGTCGAATAACCACATCATGTCGCATCAGGTTCAGAATCCCTCTGCGTGGCAGCTTCAGTACCATCTGTTGATTTTCCTGATAATAAAAGGAATACACTCATTATAAATCATTCTGAATACAGAAACAAAGATACTTACTCTTTATTCTGTAAATTTTGTAACATAATCAAGAGCATATTTTATATACATTTTAGAGTCATGCTTTCTCATTTATATATCATGAATATGCTCTTTATTCTCTAAATATTGTAATGTAATTGAGAGAGTATTTTATATATATATATATATATATTTTTTTTTTTAGTCCTGCTTTTTCATTTATATACATGATTATACTCTTTAGTGGCCCCATAAAAATACACATTTGACTCCTTTATATATCCCTGAACATTTTAGAGAAAGAGTAATAACTTTTAATTATAATTTCCTCTGAGCAAGGGCTGTTTTTACTTCCTATTAGTATATTGTTTGTAATTAATGACCAATGTGAGAAACTTAACAGTTTCACCATTTTATAATACAGCTTGGAGAAATGAAACAGTTTGTTGTCCAGTTTTTCTGAGCTATATCTTGCTGTTCAATAGTTTTTTTTTCATTTGTGATGTATACTTTTGAGAATGAATGCAATATCTAATTCATCAGAATGAATCAGTTCAATCTGGAGAGAAGACTTACATGAGCATCTGAGAAACTAAAAAACCCCACTTTCAGCCTAACCATAGCATTTTTGCAAACTCTTCAGGAGGAAGTAGGTCAGAAATATTCTACCATATAGATCTTTGACTCCAGCTGGAGGAAATAATAGGTCACAATGCAATATGCCAATTAAAAAGGTCTCTCTTGATTTAATTTAAAAATTGAGTTTGTGGGTCAGGATTAGTTTCAGTTGTAAAAAATAAAAATACACATGTAAAAATGCCAAATCACCCATGTAGTCCACTTTAAAGCTCAACATAGTCAAGCACGAGCCATAACTTATGAGACAACCATTTGTGTGTAAGTTATTGTATTCAAAACATCATTCATTCCATGCTCAGGTTTTAAGAAACACAGCTGTTGGAATCCACATGGAGTTTCCTGTATAGTCATTGCTAAATATATACTTGGAATTCTTTCTTTGGACCTGTTTCAGACACAGATACAGATTAGATTATCAAGTTTTGCCCTATGGGTCATCCTTCCCCTCCCCTCTCCTGCCCAGTGTCATTTTGGTCCCTGTGTCCAGATAGTCAGTGATGGCAACTTTGCAAAACTGGGAAACTTTATACATATTCCTTAATAGAGAGGATAAATGTAAGTGAGAGGGTAAGGTGCACCTAAAAAAGATTGGTGGAATCTACATACATGCCTTCATATCTGTCATGTTCCCATTCTCAATCAGGCATCAGTTATTTATGAAATGAACTGAACTATTTCTGAACTGAATTATATTTTCAATCCATAGAGCCACTTAGAATAATGACTTCTAGGGATATATAATTATGTAAAGAAATTATTTTGTTTTATTTTCACTAAGATTTTCTCTGTGTTTAGCTTCCAGAAAACTTCATGAAAAATTACATTCTCTAAGAAACTGATATTTTTCACAACCATCTCTTAGGGCTAAAACAGACTAAATTTAGCAAAAATAAATTTCCTTACATAATTTTATGTAAAAATTTAGTGCCAAACAAGTTTACTATTTTACATTTCGATCATTGTGTATTATTTGTCTTTCATAAATAATACCTGTGTTATCCTACTCTCCGTAATAATACTTCTGTCCTTCTGAAGCCCATTTACCATCAGTACTGCCCTCTGATCCTAGACCATTGCCCAGGGCTCTCCTTCTTCTTTATTTTTTTACCTTACCTTATGTGGGTGATGGGCTTATGAGAGATAAGTAGAATCATGACTTAACATAATTTAATCACTAGTCTGTACTTCCTAATCCTGACTTCTTTCAAACTCTCTGATGTTTTCTTCCAGTGTTCGGTTAAGTGTGGCAAAGGTGTGCGTCACCGGACTGTGAGGTGTACGAACCCTAGGAAGAAATGCGTCCTCTCCACCAGACCCAGGGAGACTGAGGACTGTGAGGATTACTCGAAATGCTTTGTGTGGCGAATGGGTGACTGGTCTAAGGTGAGATTCATCCTGTACATTCTCAGGATTAGATTTCCATAATGTCAGCACTGCCCTGGGTAATGACCGTACAGCATGACACTTACAAGGAATAGAAGGTGAGGCAAAGGCCATGGGAGGTGGAGTATTATATACCCAGGTTCAAATCCTGCCTGCATGTCCAGGATCAGGACCTCTGTGAAATTGTTCTAAAGATAAAACAAGATAAAATGTATAAATCATTTACCATTTTTTCACATGAGGAAGCTCCCCCATAATACTATTACTGTTATTTTATTGCTAGTTTTTGTCGATATAGTTCTTTGTCAGAATATTTTTTGTTTTGGTAGTTTTGTGTCAACAGTGGAAAAATTGCTCTCAGCTTGAGAGAGAAAAATATAAATCCAAGTATACGCAAAGAGAAAAATCTCCTGTCCTAAAATTGTACCTCTGATTTCTAAGTAGATGTAATGCAGCCTTTGTTGAACAGCACTCCTGTTTATTTCACTGAGACTGTTAGACAGGTTGAGTTTATTCTCCTTGGTTCTTGTTCCCACTGAAACAAAGAATTGAAGGGCAGAGACACAGTAGTGAAGCAGAATGAAAGTTTTATTTGAATACACTCCAAGGGAGAAGGGGTCCAGAGTCAAGGTCGGCAATGGCAAGTTTACTTGAATAAAAGCAGAGAGGAAGGGAAAAAGGGGGACTAAAGGGGAGGTCATTGAACTGCTGTTCAGCGTAGGGCATAATCCCTTGCCAACTACTAAAGCCAGTGTCACTTGCCATCCAGTGTCCACTTGAATCTGCACAGCATGGGAACTGAGTTCCTGCCACCCCAGGATTTGGGGGAACCCCAGAGCACAGAGATTTTCAGGCAGGCTACTAAGGAGCATAATTGTATAGCTGCAGTTCCGTCCACATTGTCTAGGCGAGGGAACTTGCAAGCCCAAATCAGAGCTCTCAGTAGTCCCTCCCTCCTTGTCTGAAGTAGGACAGAGAGACACACTCAAAGAAAGGTGAGTACAGGCAACCTCAGAGAGGAGGTGTGCTTAAAGCATTGGGGTCTGGGGTTTTATAGGGCTTTTTTGGGTAAGGGTCACCATATGGCATGATGTACACAGGTTATTCATAATTCCTTTGAATTTTTGTCTTAAGAATAGGGTTGTTTAGGGTGACTGTGTTGGTTTGCACTCCAGCATTCTTTGTCCACATAGGTTTATTTATATTTCCAAGGTCTGTCCCCTGCCCTGGTTACAAAGTTACTTGATTAAGGGGTTGAAAGAAGACAAAGAAAAGAGCACAGAGATTAAGTTAAAGAATGAGATGGGCCTTTTTTGCAGGTTAAGTAGATTTTACAGTGGCATGATCTAATTGGTACAATGAAGACATGGGCTGTGCTTGGATACTTTTCTTTATGTGGGGAATATCCGACATTCTAAATTACCCCCTTTGGAACTTCAATTAATTAACTCATTAACTCTGTGAGTACTTTCTGGCTTTCTGACTTTTATCTGGTTAACTGAGTGGCTTTAGTGGCTTTATTCTCTCTCCACCCCACTCATGTCTATTTTTCTGCCAAACAAGACTAGAAAATTGGCAAAAATGGGACACAATGTTTTGCTGTACTGTTGACATATTATATGCAAGAATCTGACTATATCTCTGTTATAGATACACATCAGGACCTTTCCTGGGAGATTAGAGTATGAGCCATATGTTTCTGGACAATGTAATTCTGTATTTACTCATTTAAGCTGTCCTAAGTATAGAACACTGACTTGAAAAATAACAGTCCCTTATGTTTAATGAAATGCCGTATTTTCTGCCTGAATTTGACTTTTCTGCCTTTATTTGAACTTACAACTTCTTGTTTTCATTACTGGAGGCTGAGAGGAGCAGATAAAAAAGTATTGTTATATCTACATGTTACACAGAATTAGGTCCTTCCTAAAACTTATGTACAGTTAACTTTTCTATGTAGTATTAACAAGTGGTTTATACCTAATCAAGGGAATTTTAATAATAAAACATCTTGGAATTGCACATAATTATTGTTGGTTTTTCCTTAGAGTCAATTAATATTCTACAATTTGAACTTAAATCAGTCCTTTAAAATTCTGGGGAATAAATAGTTTTGGTCACATATCAAATTATGACATGATTAATAGCTTTTTGGACAAGAGATTATGAATCTTTTGGTGATGATATAATTGGAAATAATGCTAGAAGCACAATAAATCATTTTGAATCACTAATTATACACATAATATGGTATATCTTTGTTTAGAAGTGGTAAATATAAAACTTGAAGTATAATAAATTCTTTTTAACTTATCCTGCAAAAGGAAACCACAATTACATCAAGTATATTATGTTGAATAGAAGAAGAATCTAAAAACTATGAAACAATGAATAATCATGGAGGACATTTCTTTCCACTGAAGGAAAATTCAGTGAATCATTGAAGGAAACTTAAACAAATCATGGTCAGTGCAATCAAGAATATCCTAAACTACATGATTATATGACACCACTGTGTTTTCAATCATGCATCTCTGCAGCCTCTTGTTTCTGTTTTAAGTCAAAGGCACATGAAGAACTGGATCCAAATCCCAAAGGAGGAATTTCCTGTTGCCCCATGGCTAGACTAGGACCTTAGGGCTATGAATTCTTACATGTCTGGACTGCCTGGCACATACCCTACCCCAAAGAAAATCAACTTTCAGGAAATCCCTGAACTAAATGAGGACATGTAGAGTTTTCCAATTTTAATACAACTAAACTAAACAGGTCATTAAAGGTTAGTAGGGGGAAACTCAATTCTTGTTTGTATTTCCCATTCACATTTAAAGAAATAAATAACAGCAACAGAAAATAACCAAATTAAATACCCTAGTAGAATGTGAAAGTAGAAAATGTTAGGCATTAAGTGTTGGCTAAAACTAGAGAAAAAAAGAAAAAAGTAAAATGCAGAAAATACATTGTCAGGTAGGTACAGTAGTAAAATCAGTATTTACTGAACACCTGAATGTCATCATTTTTATAAGACTAAATACATATAAATTTATGAATTCTTGAGGCCTATATTCCCAAAACTACGTACCATGGGAAACTCATCCCTGGGGATGTGGTCTCCATGGATGAGAAGTACTGTAGCTAAACAAAGATAAGCAAATACTCTGGTGTGGGACTTTTCAGACCTGTTAGCATTCTTCTGTACTTGGTGAATCTCAAAGAGAGGCTACAGAATTTCTCTTTTTCTGTCTTCTTTTTACCAAAGATCACTTTTGCAGAGCATAGTTTATTTTTTAGTGTAATATACTTTGGGAAATCTTCCATTAGATGATTCAAATTTCAAGGACTAATTTTGTATATATTTTTTCCAACTAGAGAAAGTTTGTAGGTTGAAACCAAACTGAAATGATCAATAATCTAGAAAACTGTGTTGAGATGGATTTGCATTTCTGCTCCAAATTATTTTCTAATTAAGTCTACAAGTCTCTTGGTATTTCGAAAAGATCACTACTTACCATTATTATAATCATAATCTAAAACAGAAAATCTGAGCAGTACCCCATAAACAAGTATGAGTCTGTTACACTGAAATCTATCATTGTTGGATCAGTGAATTAAAGAGCTCAAAGGTTGTGGGATTGGTTTTACATATTTGGACATTGAGGAAACCCACCTCAAGATATTCTAAAGAGAGATGTTGCATTAGAGGAAGCTTAGAAAACATACTTGTCTCTGAGTAAGTTGCTCATACTAAAGAAATTACTCAGTGGTAATAGGGTCCTTTTCCTCAGGAAGGACTTCCTATTGTATGGTTTGGATGCATCCCCTGAGCATTTGCACAACTTGCTCCTCACCATTCTGTCTGAGAAGATACTGTCTTCTCAGCCATGCCCAGACCCCCAAAGCACCAGCGATCAGAGTGTTTTGCATCTGTCTCTTTACTGAAGAAAGGGACATTTTTTGCATTGCTATCATTTTTATTTTTAAGATCTCCTGAGACTCTATCTATTGCCCCAGATACATTTAAAAAATTAAATTTACAAACCATTTCAATTACTCAGAAGTAGTCTAGTGCATGTGGCTGGTATTATTGAACGTAATAAACATTTGAGCTTAAAAAGAGGCACACAAACTATGTGTGTATGAAAATTTATAATTTGGAGAGATTGAAGTAATGTCTCTGTCTATAAGTGTATGCATATGGGTGTGTGGGGATAGGGTGGGGGTGTTGTATGTATTACAATGGATAATGGATATAGTATAGTGCATATATATGTATAATTCCATTTTAAATGCAAATACAAGAGCATATGGTTAACATCCTTTAGATTGGAAAATGAAAAAAAATATATTTTTTATCCACAGGGCTTAATAATACTGTCTTCTTAATAGATCCTTGAAAAATCACTAGTCTCTTAAAAATAATACTGTCAGTACACTTAATCTGCATACCAAAGTATCTATAATTTGACCTTCTAAATCATACTTGAAAGCAATTCAGCAAATAAGTATGATTTCATTAAAAATTATTCTTGATATTCTTTATAGGGGATGGATTTTGGAACATGTCAGACCTCATTTTGAGGACACTGAATGTCAACAGTTGGGGGAGAGAGTTCCATCTAAAAAAATAATGAATTTTGAGAAGAGTGTAGAATTGACATCAGTAGTCTTAGCACTCCATGTTTTTTATTTAGACGTGGTGAAGTATACTTTCACCAAATACCAGAAGATAGCCAGATAGGCATAATCAGATCACCAGGATAGTAGAGTAAGACATGTTTAAGATGCAAGAAAAACATGCAAATGATCAGCCAGTTAGAAGGCATCCAGTGAGGTCTTCAGATAAAACATGTAATGAAAGGGAAAACTGCTTTAACAAACAGGTCCCTGGTCCTGCTTCAGGTTGCCTGGGGTGGCTTACTCCAGCTTCTTCACTGCCAGGGGGACAGCCAGCGTTGAACTGCTCCCCAGCCTCTGTCCCCATATCCGTAAAGTTGCCAGAG